GAATTAAGATACCATATCAAAGATGCCTACAAGTTATGGAGAATTAGTTGGCTTAATCACTGACATATATGACATAAACCAGCAAAAAGATAGGACAACCTAAGATATGGGACAAATAAAGTAGAACATTGTCATTAAAGTCAAATAATATGAAACCAATCACATCATCTAAATTTGATGCATTAAGAACAAAGTATCTTTAGAATGATTGTATTTAGAATTTAGAATTATTATGTGCCCATCTTTACCTTTTTTGTTTTTTTAAAGATTTTATTTATTTATTTGACAGACGGAGATCACAAGTAGGCAGAGAAGCAGGCAGAGAGAGAGGAGGAAGCAGGCTCCCTGCTGAGCAGAGAGCCCGATGCAGGGCTCGATCCCAGGACCCTGGGATCATGACAGGAGCCGAAGGCAGAGGCTTTAACCCACTGAGCCACCCAGGCGCCCCTCATCTTTACCATTTTTAACAAGTCTCACGAATACTTTTTTATTTCGGGTTTGCAGACACGGGCCCTCCAGGCAGAGGGTGGTAGCTTGAATGACGGTTGGGGATGAGCTGGGACCCACCTCAGAGGGCTTGGTTACCGGAAAGGACATGGAAGCACAATTTTGCTAGGGCTGGGGGAACCATTAGCCCATTCTAAGCGTGTGTGTGTGTGTGTGTGTGTGTGTGTGTGTGTGTGAGAGAGACAGTGCTCTTTGAGACTCTTTGCTTTGTCCCAGAAGCTGCTGAATGAACAAGTGGAAGAGTTCCACTTTCCACCTGTGCCAAGACACTAACACTCTCCATGGAACAAGCTCTCAATTCTGAACAAAGACAGGCTGAATTGGGGCGCCTGGGTGGCTCAGTTGGTTAAGCATCTGCCTTCGGATCGATCAGGTGCTCAGGTCAGGATGCCAGGGGGTCCTGGGATCAAGCCCCATATTGGGCTCTCTGCTCAGCGGGGAACCTGCTTCTCCCTCTCCCTTTCCCGCTCCCCCTTCTTGTGCTCTCTCTGTCAAATAAATAAATAAAATCTTAAAAAAAAAAAAAAAAGACAGGGTGATTTGGATGTCCCTTATCGCAGACAACTGCTTATAAACAGATCGCCCTCCAAATCCGGATACTCCCTTTTACCCTGACCTGTGGGAGCAAAGTGTGTGTAGAAATGTAGCCCATAAGGGGAGCCCTCTGTTCCCATGAACTACAGACAGATGGCTTGAGAAGCAAGTAGAGAGATGCCCCTGGAGGCTTCTTAGAGATCAAAGATTCTAGAATCCCAAGGGTTCAAAGGAGCATAACTTCCTTTCCAAACTTGACCTGTCCTTCAAAGTGTGGTCCTAACGCCATATCTTCCTGTCAGAGCCCCAGATCCACCCCAGGCAGAAGACACTGCTCTCCTTTCTGAAGGCGCATAACACCCTGTCCCTTAAAAAAAAAAAAAAAAATGCAACTGAACCTTTCCTCAGTGGCACTAACCCCTTTCTTCGCTGAAGAATTGTTTTCTTTCCCAGTACAGGAGTTCCTGGAGGGGGAGCGCGAATCAGTTCACAGCTCCTGGTGGGAGGGGCTGGGGTCTCGCTTCATGAAATGTTTAGCAAATGGACATATGAACAGGCAGCTTGGTAGAAAGGAGAACCAGCAAATCATCATGTAGAACAGCAACCTTGCTAGGTACAACTGTTAAATTATTAAATGCAATTTAAAGATTTCTAGCCCAAACCCAGCGTTGGCCACGTGGAGGCACATACCACTATGGGCTAATTGTGCCCCTCCAAAATTCATATCTTGAATCCTAACGTCTAGTACATCAGAACAGGACCTTATTTGGAAGTAAGGTTGTAGCAGATATAATTAGATAAGACAACGTCATTAGGGTGGGCCCTAACTGAATATGACTGAGGTCCTTATAAAAAAAAGGGGGAATGAAGGCATAGACAAGTGAAGATGCCCTGTGAAGATGAAGGCAGAGATTGGGGGAAGCTTCTAGAAGTCAAGGAATGCCAAAGATTGCCAGTAAAGCTACCAGCAGCGAGGGCAGAGGCATGAAACACAGAGAGCACAAAGAGCCTACCCTGCCAGCACTCGGATCTCACTGCTCCGCCCTCCAGAACTATGAGATGATGCAATTTTGTCCTTCCAGCCACCCAGTTTGAGGTACTTGGTTTTGGCAGCCCCAGCCAACTTAGGCACACGTCTACCTGTATGTCACTGGTGGGACCAGGGACCTGGCTGAGCTTTCTGGGAGACAACCCTGCAAACCACGGCCAACTGTTCACCCTCCCAAACCCATTGTTCACTTCTGGAAATAACCCTAACTTTTTTTTTTTAATTATTTGGTGGAATATTATCCAGCAGTAAAAAGGAACAAATCGTTGATACATGAAATAACTAAGATGAATCTCGAGGGCTTCATGTGAAGCGAAAAAAGCCAGACCTACAAGGTTACATACTATTTGATTCCATTTATATGACATTTCTGAAATGACAGATTAGTGGTATCATGGGTGAAGGGAGAAGATGCAGGGGGCATGGGAAGAAGGTAGATACCATTATCAAAAGAAAACAAGAGTAATCTTCATGGTCACAGAGTTGTTCTTTATCTTGGCTGTGATTGGATACTAGAACTTACACATGTAATAAAGTGACATAGACTGAAACACACACACACACACGCATGTGTACATGCATATTGGTGGGTTGTTCCAACGTCAATATCCTGGTTATATTGTACTACAGTTTTGCAAGATGTTACCGTTGAGAGTAACTGGGCCAAGGGTACATGAAATTTTCCTGTTTTATTCTTTGCAAGTACATGTGAATTTACAATGATCTCAAAAGTTTAACTCAAAAAATTACTTTGTACAAGGAATCCATTCATAGCATCCCTACTGAGGCTAGGCAAGCATTGGAAATAACCTAACGTACCCGCAACAGATGTCAGCTAAAACCCCGGGGGTTTAACTCTGAACGATGACAAGCTCTCAAACTGAGTAAACATAAAACTGGATTAGCATGAAGTGAAAAAGCAGATGATATCCTAGCAGGTTCTCTGTGAGCCGTTCTGGGAAGAGCAGGGCTATACCTTGGCAGAGAATAATTCAAAAGGATGGACACACTTCATGGGTTCAAACCCACTGGATTCTTCTCTTTTTTCTTTTAACAAAGACCTCAGTTCCAAATAAAACAATGAAATGAAATAAAACCCTTCACCATCCTCCCCCCGCTGGCTCTTCCTTATGTCTCCAGCAGAGGGCAGCAGCGCTTCGGGGATGGGCCCCACAGGCTCCGGTTCAGGCGGTTGGGTCTGTCCCTTCCACCAGCAGGTGGGGCTTCAGCGTCCAGATCGCGGCCGCTCAAAGTCTCCGGCCTCGGAATTGCACTTTTCCCAAATCTGAGGCAAGAAGGCAGTTGTCCGGCCATGATCGGGTTAATGGTCCACATTCCAGAGCAAGGGAAAAGGGGGCTGGAGGGTCAGAGACAAGGGGAGGGGGCGCAGAGGGCCAGCTTCTCACAACACCCACGGGCTCTGTTGGGAGAGATAGATCACGTCCAACAATGGGCACAGCTGTTTTTGTCTGCCCCGAAGGAAGCTGACTTAGGAAGCAGGTATCAGAGAGGGCCCTTCCTGCAGGGACTTCTGTCTGGCTTGTAAAACTGTCAGAGCAGCTGCATTTATGTGTGGAGTGATGGATGGTGGAAAGGAGGGACAGACGGCTTCAGATGGACACAGCGGCTTACAAGTCAAGGCAGGTGGCAAAGGCCTCCGCGAGGCTCTGCAGGTGGGGCGTGCTGATTCATTGCCCAGTGGAAATACCAAGGGGACCTGGGCCACAGCCCTCTTCCCTGCCTCCTTTAGGTCCAGGAGTCCGGTGCCCCTCCTCCTTCACCGGCAGTGAAATCTTCTGATGGCTCTCCTTTCTTTTCCTGCACCTCGGGTGTGAACCTTCCTCCCCGGTACCTCTACCCCTCCCCTCGCTCTGCTCCGGGGCCAAGGTGGTAGTTCCTTTTGGTTTCTTTGTGGCTAGCCGGACCTGGGATGGCTTCGTGGAATGCGTCCCAAGCATACACCAGCAAGGTTTTCTATATAAGACTCAAAGCTCTTTTTGAGGACTAGAGACCCTAGTCTTAATGGACTAGAGACCAGAGAAAAAAAAGAGGAGATGAAGAATCAGCAGTAAAAATTCTGGCCTTGGCTTTTGCTAAGAAAAGGGATTTTGTGCTCTCCATTCCTAACCACAGCCTGGCCAGGGAAATGACTGCCTTTGGTACATGCGTCTGCAAGCAGGAGTGAGTGTCTTGGCCAAGAAGTGCCTGTCACCGTGCGCGGAAGCCCCAAGATCTTCTTGGGCTCCATCACCAGTGCCCGCTGATTTGCTCATCCTGGACTTGTAACCAGAATCCCGCCTCCTCGAGCAAGCAGACGCCCTCCCCTCCTCATGGCTTTCCAGTTTTCTCTCTTGCCTTCCAGAGGGTTGCCAATAAGGGGCTTTCTTGGTCAGGATAACCAATGCTGAACCTCATGGAATTGGGACCAGTGAGATTTCTTAAAAAGCCTCCTTCTGCCTCTGCCTCGGTCTGTGGAGGCCAAAGATAGAGACCTTGGGCCATTTGTTGTTGGGGTAACAAATGAACTTGGCCTGAGAAAGGGACTTGGCGAGGCTTAGCTCTGTGGAGGGCTCAGAGCCATCGTTTTCTTTGTGATGCTGGTCCACAGTTTGTTTTTGAGAAAGCCCAAGAGGACCAAGGAGGTAAAGATTACGAGCTGGAGCTCATTTTGATATCTGAAAACCGCAGCTGCCTGCACGTGGGAGGTGCTGGAGGGCAGGCTCGCTTCACACACCCCTCTCTCTAGGTCACCTAGGAGCACCAGAGCAATGTGGGAGTTTGCTGTGCCTGGGAAGTCTTTGGGGAGGGGTTGCTGTGAGCACACCCTGTTCCCTCCCACTGGGCTGAGAGAAATGTGGGACCAGCCCTGCCCCAGCCTGTCCTCATTGGTTGGCATCAGGCAGAAGGGGCTTTAAAAAGGCAAACGTGTCCCAGGCTAGGGAACAGAGCCTGTGCTACTGGAAGGCAGGCTGCCCTCCTCTGGCTGGCACCATGCAGCTCTCTCTCGCTCTGTGTCTCGTCTGCCTGCTGGTGCATGAGGCCTTCCGAGTGGTGGAGGGCCAGGGCTGGCGGGCCTTCAAGAATGATGCCACAGAAATCATCCCTGAGCTTGGCGAGTACCCGGAGCCCCCACCAGAGCTGGAGAACAACAAGACCATGAACCGGGCGGAGAACGGAGGGAGGCCCCCTCACCATCCCTTTGAGACCAAAGGTATGCATGGGGGTAGAGGAGAGCATTTTTCACATGACGGGTGGCTCTCTGGAAGGTTTTGAAGCCTGGGGTAGACCTTCCGCCCCGTTGTCAGCACTAATGGAGGGACAGCCTTGCCTGGAGGCAGGGGGAGGGTGGCAAGCCAGCATAGCCTTGGTGTTCCAGCTCAGGAGGCATGAGGCTGGGGTGGGGGCAGCTGGCAACAGGAGCCTGGGGCAGGAAGGATGCTGAGGTGGTGAGAATATAACTCTGGGACCGGCTCAGAGCCTCCGAAGGCAGACAGTTTCCAAGAATCCCCTCCTGAGAAGACAGGAGAAGGGTCTGGCCGCTGGCATCCCTGGACGGGGAACCAGGCAAGGAAGCCTCCCATCCGTGAGCACCTGCTGGAGGTAGACGCTCTACCCAGGTTGTACTTAAACCCTACCTTGGGGATCCACCGCAGGGGAGCCCCCGGAGGTGAACCCCCAATTGGAAAGTGAAGAAACAAAAGCTCCAGATGTGAACTTGGTAGGGAATAGAAGAGCTGAGATTTGGCCCCAGCCTGATCCCATGCCAAGATAGCCCTGGTGGGAGACGGGGGGTGGGGTTGGAGGGGGCTGCTGGGGACAGAGAGCCAGAGCAAGTCCCCACAAAGCAATGGGAAGAGGACACTCCTGCCTCCCCGAGTCTTCCCAGTGAGCTGGCCCTTGAAGGAACGGGAAGTTGTAGGCAGAGTCTGACCTGGGTAGCAGCTTGTCCAGGCCCTGGAGGGAAGGTAGCATCCTCTGTGCGGGCAGTGGATGCAGGTAACCCCATCTGTCCCCAGGTCCAAGCCTTGCCTCGTTACTAGGGAGGGAGCCTGACCCTTGTGACAAGGCAAGGGCTCTCGTGGAGGGCACATCTGGGCTTCTGGTCAGGTCTGCACGCACAAGCCTAGGGGGCCGTGTGCACAGCTGGCTGGAGCAGCTGGCAGGAGCAGCTGGGGGTGGGGCCGGAATGACACTTCTTGGGGAGGGCCTCACTGCCCTCCAGTCATTGTCTGGGTGGGAGAGGAGTCCACTGCCCAGACCCCCTCATCTCATCTCTCCCTGTCCCACAGCCAGCTGGGAATGTGGGGCTCTGCCAAGGGGGCAGCCTCACCGGGCGCCTGAAGACTTGAAGGCCTCAGGTCTTCAAAAGGGAGGGCAGGAGCATACCACCCTGCCACTCCCCCACCCCCCGCCCCAGGCAAGGTCGATTAAGCTTAAGGGACTGCTTCCTGGGCTCTATGGAGTCCAAATACAAAATACCCACCTCCCTGGACTCCCAGGAGAGGCCGCAGGCCCCCAAGGAAGCTGTAAGCTCAAAACAAAGTCACCTTCTATAGAAGTGCCTGATGTGGGGTACTATTCTTGGAAAGCCCAAAGAGCCTCCTTCCCTTGGCAAACAGGCCACCCCCACACACTCCCCCTGCAGCCTGGGAGCAAGGGTGAGAGTAGAAAGCCAGCCCAGAAACCAGAAGGTCAGCCAGTGGAGGAAGGCAGACCCACTTCTCCCCTGCTCTGCTAGTTCTCCGGGGCCTGGGGAGTGGAGGCCTGGCCTTCTTGGCCTTCTCTCTGCTTTTGGTCCCAGGACTGTTTTTCATCCCCTTGGGTGACAGACAGATGTTCATATGAGGACCAGCTGTTTAAAAAGCTCCCATCTGTCTAAGCCCACAGTAGGAGAGTTGATTAAAGTGTCTTCGGGGGACCAAGCCCGACCTTAGAGCACAATCTTCCCCATCCCCCGTCCCTACCCCAACCCAGGAGCAAGGCTGGGCCACCATCAGAGATTCATTAAAATGGCACAAAAAAAGAGATGTGCCCAGCAGCATGCCTAGTACACAGGAGGTGCTTAGTAAGTGTTTGCAGCAGCTGAACCTATAGGTTTTCAGACAGAGCTCCATCCCCTCTGATAGAGAAGTAACTGTAGTGAGAGGCAGCCCTGTGCCCCGCCCCCACCCCAACCTCCCACGTGGGTGCTCAGACACACAGCTTCCACTCTTATAGGAACCCAGAGGGGCCAGGGCCCCAGGAAAGTGCAGTGAGGACACCCAGCTCTGCCTTTTGGGCAAGGACCTTTCCCTCTCTAGGCTTCCTGGTCCTCTGTGATGATGAGGGGGCTGGACAAGCAGTCTTTGGCTCTTTTCAAGTCTAATGACTTCTCCCCACCTCCTCTTCCATCTCTCTCCTCCGCAGCAGCTGCCCTGATTTATTCCCTTCAATTAACCCCTACTCCTTTCTCCATTCCCTCACCAACCCTCCCAAGTGGCTGGAAAAAGAATTTAGGAGAAGCCAAGGCCATCATGCAGAGGGTGTGGCTAGCACCTGCTCTGCCTAGACCAGGCACTCTGCGTCACGGTGTGACTTATAGGGGAAGAAAAAGACCCCTTTGGAGAAGAACACATAATAAAAGCCAGTACTTCCAGCTCTTGACACATACTCACCGCGGCCCCTGCGTTATATACGCCATAGATTCACTCCCTAACCGCTCAGGACAAACCCATTTTACAGATAGGAAGCACAGAGAGGTTAAATGACTTGCCCAAGATCACACAGCGTTGGAGCTGGTATTTGAACCCCAACAGACACTTGGCTCCAAAGTTTTAGGGGGAAAGGGTGGGCCAGAGGTCTTTCCACCAGCCCCAGAATACCTGGGCAAACGCAGCTGGAAAGTGGCAGGTTTGGAAAAGGCGGGTTGGGCGGGGTGGGTGGCGTGCAGGAGGCCGCCTGGCCTGACGCGCCCTCTCTCCGCAGACGCGTCCGAGTACAGCTGCCGCGAGCTGCATTTCACCCGCTACGTGACGGACGGGCCCTGCCGCAGCGCCAAGCCGGTCACCGAGCTGGTGTGCTCCGGCCAGTGCGGCCCCGCGCGCCTGCTGCCCAACGCCATCGGCCGCGGCAAGTGGTGGCGCCCGAGCGGGCCCGACTTCCGCTGCATCCCCGACCGCTACCGCGCGCAGCGGGTGCAGCTGCTGTGCCCCGGGGGTGCGGCGCCGCGCGCGCGCAAAGTGCGCCTGGTGGCCTCCTGCAAGTGCAAGCGCCTCACCCGCTTCCACAACCAGTCCGAGCTCAAGGACTTCGGGCCCGAGGCCGCGCGGCCGCAGAAGGGCCGAAAGCCGCGGCCCCGCGCCCGGGGCGCCAAAGCCAACCAGGCGGAGCTGGAGAACGCCTATTAGAGGCCGCCCGCGCTCCCCGACCCGCGCCCTAAGCCGGGCGTCGGGGTTTCTGCCCTCTGCGCGCGGTCTGTTTGTATCTCCTTGTAAATGTCTGCAGCCCGGGGCAGGGGGCGGAGACCTTCCGGGCTCCGGCAGGAGGGAGCCAGGCCCTGCGGATCTCGGGGAGGGGGGCCAGCAGAGCCTCCCCACCCCCACTCCCCTGCGTCCCAGGGGGGATCCCGCAGGGCAGGGGACGGCGCTGAGAGTCACACACACTGAGCCACGCAGCCCCGCCTACCGGGGCCGCCCACCTTTGCTGGTCCCACTTCAGAGGACGGCAGAAAAGCAAGCATTTCGCCGCCCAGGGTTTCTAAGGGAGCGATGGGGGGGATGAGAGTCCGGGGACTGGTTAAGAAAGTTCGCTAAGATTCCTCCTCCACTTCTTTGCCCCCTCCTAAAGCCTTTAGTGCTTTGTTGTGCCAAGAACCCAGGACTGGGGTCCGTAGATAGGATTTCCAGTCTGGACTCCGCCACTAACTTGCTGGATGACCTTGGACCACACTCTTCCCTTTCTGTCCAGAGTCTGTCCTCAATTTCCTCTTTGGAAAATGAAGGTGGGCCTGGGATTTGTATCTCGAGGAATCTACTGTCACATGATTCCAAGGCCTTGGGTGCCGTTTGAATGGGCAAAGGAGAGAGAGAGGGATTGGATTGGATTACTGCCATGGTCATGGTCATGGCTAGAATTCAGAGCTGTAATCCTCTGATCTGACAGCCAAACAAGGGTGGTGGGGGGAGTCCTTTTTAGGGCTGACAAGCTCCTGGAAGAAGCTCGTTCTTTCCAGCCTGGGCTCCCCAGATGTTTGCCTACCTCCACCACTCCACCCCAAAGGATGCAGAAAAGATACCAGCAATTGGGGTAGAGAAGGAGAAGGTCCCAAGGCTGGGGAGGGCGGGGGGAGCGCAGCCAGGAATCAATCCCCTATTCCGAAAGAACAGCATCTCCCACCATGGCCATGTTTTAAAGTCACCTTCTGCAGAGAAGCTTGAAGTCCCAGGACACTGGGCTTGCCAGGCCCAAGGAACAGCCAGCCCCCCATTCAAAGACCAGCAGATCCCTTTGGAGGTGTCTCCTCCCGCCTAGCACTCACAGACATGATTCTGTCTAGCAAGTAGCTTCTTACTACTGTTACCGGTGGTGGCGCATCTTACATTAAAATAATATTACTTGGGGAAAAATTACAAGCGCTGTACATATGCTGAAAAAAAAAACCCGCAAAGCCCGTTAGCTGTCATCCAAAAATCTTTCTGAAAGTCATTTCCAGACACCTCTTACTTTCTGTGTAGTTTTTCATTGTTTAAATTTTTTTTTTTTTTTTTTTTTTTTTTTTAAACAGAAGCACAGACCATGTGAGAGCCTGCTGGGCTGGTCGTTTTTTGCAATCCTTTCATGTGGGATTTGTCCACAAGAATGAGAGTCGTGGTTCTTAAAAAGAGTTAAGTTACGTATTTATTTTCGCACTTAAGTTATTTATGCAAAAGTTTTTCTTGTAGAGAAATGACCATGTTAATATTGCTTTATGAAATACCAGTCTGTTCTCTCCGAATCCAGAGGCATTGTTAATAAAGACAATGAATCATTTCAGAGAGGATGTGGTCTCATTTTGTCAGCCACACACAGTCATTTAGTCAAAGTTAACATCCTTCTCCTCCTGGTCACTAGGACTTCAACCTTGGAGGCACCTTTGACTGTGCCACGGGGGCCCTTGTGGCAATTATGTCCTCCCTTTGAAAAGTCATGTCTGTCCCTTCCTTTCCAAACCTAGACCTCATTCCTTCACCGCAACCATTGTCATAACTTCAGTTTGGTCTCCCTCAAGCAGCCTGCCCTCCACACTGTCTTCCAGAAACACCGTTCTCATTGCGCCACACCCCTACTCACAATCCTTCCATAGCTCCTCCTTGCCCAGGATTGAGTTCCGGCTTCTCAGCCTGACTGGAGAGGCCTTTCCCTGCCTGAGTCCCCTTCCCCACCCCCACCCTGCTCTACCAAACTTCCTTCCGACTCCCAAGTGGCCACACTCCGCTGCTACACTCATCTCTGCCTTAGTTTACCCCCACCTCTAAAGACCACCCCAATGACTCCTTGTTTTAGTTTTAGGGTTCATATTCCTTGACACCTTTGAATCTGAACCTTCCAGGGATGTTGCAAACCCGGCTGAGCTCTCCTCAGATGCCCCAGGCCCTTTGTCCCTGCCATGACTTCAGTTTCTGATTCTATGTCTTCCATTTGATACTGGTTCACCGATCATATTTCTCACCTAGCCAAGCCCTGCTTAGTGCTGAGAGCGACACAAGCCACATACAACTCGGTTCCAGCTCCCCGGGGGGCTCTGTCAAGTGTTTTCTCAAGCATGAATTGTATGCCTCCCTGGTGAGAATGGAAGATCACGAGCAGGGACAGCAGCTTGTCCTTCCCTCGGTCTTGTGTAACCAAGGTGTCTCACAGCGCTGGACACTGCCTGACACACAAGAGCTACTCTTCAGTCACTACAGGGAGAGATGAATCAAAGCTTTGAATCCAGTCCAGCCCCTCTTGGGGTAACCCCACCCCAAAGCACTCCCCCCAGCCCCAAGGGCTTTTCACTTTAACTCCCAATGATCCCTCCTCAATTCCTTATCATCACCAGCAAGTTTCTGATAGTTGGCAAAGGGTGTCTTGTCTCTAGACCCCGAGGACGCCCCATTGGCAATGGGTGTCTTGTCTCTAGAGCCCGAGGACGCCCCAGCGAGAGCCTGCAGGGAATCCACGCACTGAGAGGAGTGTCTCAGAGCTGGGAGTGAGAACAGGTAGGAAATGGATACACAGTCTAGCCCCCAGACGCCCTGTGGTCCAGTGGATGGAGACACGGGCTCTGGAGCCAGGCTTGTGTTTGGGTCTAAGGCAACTGGGACATCTAGGGGTTAAGCATTTGCCCACAGCCTGATGTGGGCTCCATTCCTGCTCAGACGCTCATTCAAGCCTCCCCAACCTGGTGGGCACATGGGCAAGTCATCAGGCCACATTGTACAGAGTGTTATGGGATCAAGCATAGGAGGAATCCACGTTGTGGTAGGAATGAGGGGAAACACTTCAGGAAGGTTTCACAGAGGTGGGAGCTGCTTAGAGGTTTGGCCAGTGGAGAAGGTGGCACAGGGTTCTGAGTGGGGGGCGTGGCCCGAGCAAAGGCACTGGGGCTGAAGGTGCATGGCTGTCTTCGTGAGGGCATGAGACTTGATCTGCCACATTCCTCAACATGTACTGAGTCCTCACCATGGGCCAGGCAGCATGGGGAGGAAACTGGGAATCCCAAGCAATGCCCAATCCCAGGTACACCTAGGGTCTGCTTTCTGGGACCCCGAGACCCAGGAGGGATCAGCCCAGCCTATAATCCCATTACCACGTAGGGGGAAAAAAAAAACCAAAGCCTAAATTGTAGGTCGGGCTAAGGGTTATTTATGGAAAGTTATATTCTACCTACATGGGGTCTATGAGCCTGGCGCCGATCAGAAACGGAACAGACAACAGGCTCAGCCGGGAGGGGTGGCATTCTGCTGTGGGGAGCTCATGTTCTCGTGGCTCAGCCAGACATGGGGTTTGTATTAATAGTCTTGAGAGTCAGACAGACGGAGGGGCAGAGGGAAACAGGGCTCTGTCTCTCTTACACACACACACACACACACACACACACACACACACACACACACACTGCATCAGGCTCTCCCTATATACCAAGTACCAATCAGGCCACCTTTGCTTAAGGAGGTAGAGCAGAAGAAATTCGAAGAAACCACAGGGACCCAAAGGTCCATGCCTGTCCTAAAGTGGGAAGGACTTGGGCCACCAGGGAGTTGGGGGAGCTCACACACCAAGCTCAGAGTCAATGCCGCTAGAAACTGGTGCCACCCGCCCACCTCCCACCTGTTCCCTGGCAGGGGCAGATCGTTCCTGATCACTGGTTCTAGCTCTGGGACCTTCTCCCTTGTCCCAGGGCAGGCAAAAACTCAGGCTTCTAGAAGCTCTGACCAGGGTTGAAGTGCCTTCCATCGCTAGAGTGGCAGGAAGCAGGGAGAATGTCACTCTTAATTCATGCAACCAGGCGCCCGATTTGTCCAGACACCGACACCTATTGGCCCATCGAAGTTATTAATAACTCCTGCTTTTACTCTCAAAAATACCCTGTTCGATCAGTCAGTTACATGACTTTTATAGCTGCAGGTGTAAGAGATACAGCTCTCTGTGGAATGGCTGGGACTCAGGTGCTGGCCCTTTTGGGATGTCCCCTGCATGCCTCCTCGAGGTCTATTGTTCATCCTCCAGGTCTCAGCCAAGTGTCAACTTCCCCTGACCAGCCAAACCATGCTTCATCTTTTCTGAGCAAGGCTCTGTCCCTCCAGAGAGTTCACCTTCATAGGCACGCAGGGATAGACTCATTCTTGTAAGTGTTCGATAAATCTCTCCCCTCACCCCAACTCTGAGACGCCGAAAAACAGGGACTCTGGGTCTGTGGCCGCTCACCAGGGTACCCCCAGTACCCAGCATACAGTACGTGTCTAAGGCGCATTGTGATTGCATCGGTGTTCAATGTATTCCGGATTTCTTCTGCTCTGGGATTAGGTGGATGGAATGGACTGGGACGCGTGGACGAAGGTGGGAAGAGGGAGGGGACTATCCGGCTTCTAGCAAAAGCAGTGGTTCGCCTGGGTCCTTGTAGGTTGGGTCTCTGAGGGTAAGACACAGCTCCTCCCCTCCAGCAGTTTGTAACCTTGCTGGGGAGTCAGGTGGAAAATACCGTTGTGGAGCATGTGGTCATTTGGCTCTACCAGAGCGGTAGAGACCTGAGGCGGGGGGGGGGGGGCTTCTGGGGAACCAGGTAGTGGTGGGGGTAGGGTCCGGCTGAGCTGCGCTTCGCAGGCTGCCCGGTGAGGAGGGGCAGGGAGGAGAGGCAGTGGAGGAAAAGAAGCAAGGCGATGCACACCCG